GTTCTGTTTGTTTTCTACACTTCATTTCTACTATCTACTGAAATGAATTGGGAAGCAGAACAACTGGGAAACAAAAATGCAAAGATGGTTTTAGACATAAATGCTGTCAGCATCCATGTTCTGATATTCCCCAAGTGGGCTTATTGATAGCAGCAATGCTCCTCTGAGCTCTTTTTTCCATGTTGTACAATGGAAATATACCACAGGAAATATGCAGTAAATATTCCTGTTTGCAAAAGGCCTACTTTAACTCTTTCCTTATCAAAATTACCCATTATTAGTGGATTTTAATATGTTGTAAAGGATAAGTTATATTCATTACCAGCTAATCATAAAATACCAAGCTAAGTCATATTAGAGTAAATGTACATCTTTAAGCTTAAATTCTAATTGGAAATTAGATTTTTACCCTGGTGTTCCACAATCATTTTTAAAGTCTTTGCTTTTAATCCTCACATAAAGCATTATCTTTATAATTAAAATTTGTATGCATTATCTTACTGTGTACATTTACATCTTGTATATAGTTCAAGAATCTGTGGAGCAGAGCCTAATTCTATGATTTAGGGCAATCTCTAGGTAATATACAGCTTAGTGTGTTTTACTGATCACTTAAGCTGTTCAATTAACATACATAGACATGCCTTTTGTACTGAATATGTCCCACAAATGCTTACGTGTAAACAATTGTCAGTGTTAAACATATAAAATATTATGATTAATAATAAATACAAACCTTTTAAAATTTAAAGTTGTACTGAAATCATAGTTATATTTTGGCATTATGTACTTTCCCAGTAATTGGGTATGGATAGGTCTATATAATAAAGGATTTGACATTAAAAGAGAATCCTTATTTTAGGTGAAGTTAAGCACCTCTGATATAACACCATTCCTTTCACAGTATTAAGCTTATGAAGGAGAAAAATGATTAATTTTTACAGCTTGTGGAATAATCCTAGCTGCCCTTCTACACTTTGACATTCATATCCACCAGAACATCATGCATCTAATTAGATAATGCTAGAATAGAGATTAGCACTTTCTATCAATATCTTATATTTCCTAGTCCATGAGACCCATCTTCATGTGTATTAATGAACAACACATCTGTCCTTGATTTTAGTAGACTTTTATATTTCATGCAATTCTATATTGTTTTGCTGGATTATATTTTAGGTTTATTACTTCTCTATAATCTGCAATGATACATCTGAATCTTATGAAATCCAAATTACATAAACAGCATATAAGGCACTGTATAAGTGTTCCTGTTCAAAGTGCTTTCACATTTTGTTTCAAGGCAAACCAATACATTCCTGTATTTGTTTTTAGGGTTTGTATTAGTTTATGGTCTATTTTCAAGAATTTAAACTGTGAAATCATTTATGTGCTGCCAACTTGTCCTAAGTTTTGAAATTTTCAAATAGGAGATTTTAAGTTGTATTTATATATTTTTTCAGCATATGTAGTAATGACAGGAAAGCAAATTATCCTGTAAATGGAATACTTTAGAGTTATTTTATTTTTTTTATCTTAGAAAGGGATGCATAAGAGTAAGGTAGGTAAACCTTTTACATTTCGACTATATTTTGCTTTAAAATGTATAATATATTACAGATAACATACTGGCTAAATAACTGAGCAAATTAAAATTCCACAAATTATTAAACTCTATATAATTAAGTAAAAGATGTTGAATTAAAAGGAATATTTCTGCAATTGTATGAGTTAGTGAATGGAAAATGAACTTATAGAAGACTCTGCCTTTCTTCTGCTGTTAACATTGGCACAAGGCCAAACAGGGATCCTCAGCCTTTATTTAGCTCATGCCAATAATCAGCATTTATTATCATAAAAAGCACAAATCTCCACTGGAGCTCATCTCACTGAGGTATCTCCTCATTGGAATATTTGTCCTTGTTGCTTTTGTAGAATGTCAATGGATGGTTTTAAATTATATTAGACACAAAGACAGGTGTAGCGAAATGAAAGGTAAGACAATTGAAAATATATATAGTGAAACAAAGAAACCAAAATAAAGAAAAGTATCTAAGGAGTGAAAGACATGTGGAACAAAGCAGAAAGTTTCACTACATAGAATTTAAGTTCAAAATGGAGAAGGAAGAAAATGAGGTCGAAACAGTATTTCAGTAGAAAAGAGCTGATGAAAAGTAAACAAGAAATAAGAAATTCTGGAAGGACTGGACAGGATGAATATATAATACACCACACATGGATACATCCTAATAGAAAAATAAAAGCCTGAATCAGAGAGAAACATCTAAAAAGTGGTCAATGGTGAAAAAATACACACATTATATCATTATCTTCAGAACAGTAGTAAGTCTGAAAGCAAGCTTCTGAACAGAAGTAGTGAAAAGCAGAAGATAATGGAAGGGCATTTTCAACGGACTGAAAATATTGTCAACAAGAAAGTCTACTACTACCCTCCCAAAAAATGTCCTTCAAGAATAAAGACAAAAAATAAAAAATTCATTCACATGAATAAAAAATGAACAGTATTTATTACTGTATCCAAAGAAATGTTAATCATCTTTCTAGTAGCAGAAAATGCCTGAGAAATAGGAATATATACTATGAAAGATCTATATATTGTAGATAAATTTAAAAAGCTGAGTATTGTCTCTATAAAAAAGATAAATAATGCGGAATTGAAATTCATTAGAACAATAATACCAAAAGCATAAATGAGGTAAATAAAATTCAAGTGTTCTAAGTCTCTAGCATAATGCAAAATAAGATAAAATATATTTATTCCTGTTGACATGCAATCTCTAGGCATCCCTCCAAATATTTTTAAAATAAAAAATTACAAGGTAATAGAAAATAAAATAACAGTGAAGAATTGATGAATAAGGAGTAAAAGAGAATATTTGATATAAAATGACCAATCAGTTACAAAACAAATAGTGTCTGGTAGATATACACTGAAGTATTTAAATAATTACCCGAGATATAAATATTCAAGTAAAACAATAAAATGATCAGAGTAGATTAAATATCAAAAGCTATGTATTTGCTTCACACAAAAGACACATGGAAAGAAAGTGGAAAATGAAAGGTTAGATTTGTTCTACATAAGCAAAAGAAAGCTGGTGTAGATATCTCATATTACACGTGGTAGACTTTAATGCTAAAAGCATCATATTGTATGAACAGAGACAATATGTAATTAATTTCACCAGAATTGTATCATAATTTATATACACATAACCACATACCTTCAAATACTTTTTAACTGACAGAGTTAAAGTAGATATAGAGAAATACACAGTTATTAAGTACTATTATTTAAAACAACACATGGGAAAAGAAAAAAATCACAGTAGAAACTAGAAAATATTTTTTCATGAATGACAGTAAAATTATATCAGTATTTCTCAAGTGTACATAAAGCAGTATTAAAAAGCAAATTTATTGATTCAAAGGTATATATGTATATTAGTCAACTCAAACTGTCAGCAAAATAGCATAAATTGGTGCCTTAAGCAATAGTTTATTTCTCATAGTTCTGGAACAGTAGTTTATTTCTCATAGTTCTGGAAGCTGGGAAGTCTAAGGTCCAGATGTTGCCAATTTGCTTCCACTCTGATAGCTCTCTTCTCGATGTGTAGATGACCTCCTCTATGCTGTGTCCTCACATGGTGGAGAGAGAGAGCCATGAGGAGGTAAGCTTTCTGGCATCTCTTATAAGGGCACTAACCCCATCATGAGGCCCCACTCTCATGATGTCATCTAACTCTAATTACTCCACAAAGGCCTCACCTTGAAATACTGTCACACTGGGGCTTGGATTTGTTGGGGACAACTACTAAGAGGATGTGACCATTGGTTGACCAGAAAGCTGGACCAGGGCAACAGGATGCTCCCTGTCCTTGGTATGTACATTCTGCCCCATGTTTCCACAGTAGAAGCCGCTTTCAACAACTCTACTTTGAAAGAATAAGGTATTGTTGAGATCATCTGGACAGTATATGGAACTGATCCCAGTTAAGGCCTGTACATAAACTTACATGATTCTAGCAGGCTTGTGCAGGAATCTATTAGTCTTGTGGTGGCCCAAGACAAGTCTCCTATATTAGTTTCCTTGCTTATTCAAACCATCACTACTCAATCTGGAGTGGCCTGCCTCTCTCGTGAGTGTTTTCTTACCCTCCATGTACAGGAGCTGTTTAAATTTCACCATGGGAAATCCTGAAGTTGCAAACCAGCAATTGGTGAGTCAGCCAAGAGATCCGAAAGCAGTGGGTCTGCAGAAAAAGAGGCATTCAATGAGGAATCCCAGGCTGCAGGTTGGCCACCAACTTCTATACGGGGACAGGATGCCCCCAAAATGCCAGCTCCAGCTGGTCTAACCTGTCAAAGGGTTAAGTGATAAACAGACCTCTGCCATGGCTTAAACCCCACTTTGACTAAGTGGCATGGCTATTTGCAGCAGAAGCACACTTGTCTACCAGCACATTGTCTCTAGAGATGCAGGTGCTGCTAGGACCTGTAGAGTATGGAGATCCTCCAAATGTTCCCACGCTTATTCCTATGGCAGTTCTTGTGGCCTATAAAGGGTGACTAGGAGACAATCCCACTGGTATCAGGCATACAGATGGGTCTTGTTGCAGCAATCCACCCCTATGGACTAAAGTTGCTGTTTGACCCAACACTCACACCATTTAGGTGCAAACAGGATACGGGTGGATAGCGTTAGAACTGTGTAGTCATTGTGTCACATTAAAGGATAATAACTGGTTTGGCACTGACTGCTCATTCAGCCCAGGTATCTATTGAGTAATCCCAAATGAATCCCAATAGTTATATGGCCCAAATCTCTGCCCATGGCTTCTACCTGGTTATCTGGATCTCTACACCTCAGTTTTCCCCAAGCACAACAGAAAATCCTTCCCATGGTAATAAAAGTTGCCAACTTCCACTTCCACAAAGTCCCATATTCTATGCATTCTTCAAGGACAAATTACCCTTTTTCTATTTTCTTTATTCCAGGAAACAGACACTGAAACATATTTTTCACACTGTTGAGACTATCAAAACCTTGATAGCAAAACCTAAAAAGCACATTTAAGAATAGAACATTACAAAATAATATCTCTAATAAAGAGATCTGCAAAAATCCTAAACAAAATATTAATCAATAATCAAATCTAGAAACGGGTTCATTACAGGAATGCAGAAGAGATTTAACAGCAACAAACGGCAGGCTTCTGCTTAGAATGTAGAAATCTGGAAGCAGTATCATATATACTCTTAACACAATACAAAAGGACATTTGTGACAACATGGATGAATCTGAAGGACATGCTGAGTGAAGTCAGAGACAGGAAGGCACATATGGTACGATCTCACTTGAAGTTTGCTAAGTAAACTTGGTACAATCTCACTTGAAGTTTGCTGAGTGAACCTTAACTGTTCTTACTATATTAAAAAAAAAGGCAGCTATGTGAGGTGATGAATGTGTTGATAAACTTGATCATGGTAATCATTTCACAATGTGTAAGTATATAACCTGTTCATGTACACTAAGTGTGTACAATTTTATTTGTCAATTATATGTCAGTAAGGCTGAAAAACAGAAGCAAAAACCAAAACAAAACAAAACAAAAAGCTGGATAATTTCTAAAATAAATTACCTTGAATAAATGGCAGCTGAAAGCTGAGGCCACCGGACAACTGACTAACTAGAAATCAAAAGAAAAATAGGCATCTATAACGAATGATGTGCTCACTATATTGCTTACCTGGGGCAATTGCTGGTGCACTACTACTTGTAAGAAAAAGTGAGCTCAATTTTATTGTAAGAAATTGCTGAAGGATAATGTGAGCTAGTAGAGGTGTATAGAATCCCTGGGAGATAAAAATACAAGGGAAAATTGGTCTCATTCATAGGCTCTTCTCCTTTGCCCATGAGATGGGTTTTTCTCCAGTACTCATGAGATGGGTTTAGAGGCAGGTATAGAGGAGGGGAACACCAGCTCCTGCAAGAAAGGCATTAGGCTCTGCCCAGATTCTTCTCCCACAGTCCCCTTTGGAAAGCAATGGTGACCACCACCACCACCAAAAACGTCTTCATTCAGGAGATTAGTAGCAAATTCTGTCAACCTCAGGACACAGGGGGAACACTGGTTACATCTGGGGAAGAACAGAAAAAAACTGTCTTTTTTCTTGGTTAAGAAGCAGTCCCAAAGCTAAACCTATATACTTCAGCTTTTTTTGTAAAGGCACCATTATATTTCTAGGTACCCACTTTGGCATCACTTGTTGCTGCAATAATCCCATATAAAAATCTTCCCCTAAACTCAATAGTTTGAAACACTGAACAATTATTTTTTTGTTCACAAGAACAATCTGGGCTGACTGATGATGGTGCTTCTGGCCTTAATCTGAGTCCACTCATTCCTCTGCAGCTGGTGCTGCCATCCTCTTACCTCTGCGGATCTTCGGGAAGCTCTTATTTGGGTGGTAGGTGGATTTAGTCAAATCTTTAATGCTCCAGCAGCCCAGCCCAGGCTTCTTGAGAGTCATGTTCAGATAAGTAACTATGGCAAGACAGAGGTACAAGAGGGAAAGCATTAAGCACACAAACCTTTTATGATCTTTCAAGATCTTCAAAACTGGAAAATTGTCATTTGTTTCACTTTACTGTCCACACCAAGCCACAGGTCTAGTCCAAATTCAAGGGCTGTGGAACTAGATTCTAGCTTGCTGAGAGGAGCCGCAATTTCACGTGGCCAATGCCATGGATAACAATAATTGATGAAGAACTGATGCCATTTTAAAAATTCATCCACCAAAATGTTGCTAGGAATGGGTTTCCTTTGTGAAGACAAAGAACAGAAGGGAGAATGAGGGGCCTTCTCTGCTGCTGTTAATGTTATATTTTTTGTTCTACATGATGCTTATGTGAGTGTCTTCGGTTTGGAAAATTGATCAGACTATAAACTTATAATTAGTTCATCTTCTCTATGTGTGTTATGCTCCATTAATGATCTTAAAAAAGACATAATAATTATATTATTGGAGAAAATTTCTTCTGTTGCAAGATGAATCAATTCTCCAAGCTATCATGAAATACAATGTGTATAAATAACATAAACCTTGCAAAAAAAAACAGAGAAAGAAAGAGAAAACAAAAAGAAATAACAACTGTGGAGATCTCAGGCTGGCCTAAAAGTTTGTTTCAAAATCAAAACTGCATTTATTGCATTTCTAATAATCTCATATCAGAGAAATTCAAAAAAACATAAACATTCAAGTACATTATAATTATAGCATCTAAAAAAGAAGTCTGTTGTTCATTTACTAGTTTCCTTCAACAAAAATAAACATATTCAGAGACAATGTATATTAATATATATAAATACATTTTTAAATTATTTTTGTTCTGGATAATAATTTATTTAAACCACACGAATATGAGCTAAACAGGTCCTGGAAACAAAGCCAATAATTGTTTCAGAAATAATAAAATTAAGGGATATTTAATAAAGTAATGAAGAATAACATACATATTACAGATATGTTAGATGAGATTAATGGAAACTATCCTATATATTGAAGAGTGCAAGTGATTTTAGGTCAAGAAAGCAAATTATTTTATGTAAGACAGAAAATACCTTTTCCTCATGAAGGCAGTTTGCCACTTCCCTTAACAAGGAAAACCCGGGGTTATCAGATTCATCTGAAACAAACACATTGTTTTCATCAGCTTTCACAGGGAGCCATTCCTTCCTGAAATAAATCTCATAACATTCCCTTGACATACCTACGCAGGCCATATCAACTGATTTTTAACTGTCCCAGCCCTAGAGCTACCAAAGTTTAAGAAATATTTTGGTGCCTCAGTGATTCTTGGCCCAGTCCTTGATATGAGAATTTAAATTTCAGAGTTAACTCTAAGAATTATTCAGAGGCATTAGAAACAGCCAGCTCTCCTTAATTCTACCATTACAGTACATAGTAAAGCCACTTACTCTCCTAAATTCTAGTAATATATCTCTCTATCTACTTTGAATAGATAGAATCATGGCCAAATATACAACTATACAGTGATTATGGGCAGTGCCATTTACTTTGCTCAGATCATAAAAGTTTTTCGGAATTCATACCGACCAAGACCTATACATAATTGAATGCCAATGAATATATATTGGCAGAATGAGCCAAAAATGGCCTTAAAATTGACATATGATGATAATAATAATAATAATAATAATAATAACAATAATAACAATGATAATACATTTTTCAGTGTGATATCGAGTAACAAAGGAAAATAATTATGTAGACACAGGCTCTAATTGTTCAATCTTTCAAATATAATTTTATTGGGTCTTAAGGGGAAAGCATTCAGTCAGCTGTTTCAAAGTAAAATTGGAATTTTGAATATCAATCCCTTAAGTAGGAAAAACATGATTAAACTACCTAATTACATTCTGGTAGTGGGTCAAAAAGAACAGGAAGTTGAGTTAAAATCTGGAAATGACCAAATTCAGAGTCCTGGAACAAGATTACTAATTTTAATTACTTTTTCACTCTGATTTAATCATCTTCAGAAACATTCACTAAAAACAAGCATAAATATCATTTGATACAGTGAATATGCTTCATATAAGCAGTAACCTCCATATTCTACATTATAAATTGCAATTCATTTATAATATAACCAAACTGCACCATTAAGTTAGGTGCTTTTACAAAATTAGGGGTTGTGTTGGGAAATATATGCATTTCCCTTTATTCTGAGAATTCCAAAGGTTCTTATGCTGACTGAGCCATTGCATAAGACTTAGCTATTTTTATTCTTTATGGTTTTTTATTTTATTACTCTTTTAAATTTTGTCTTTGTATGAATGGATATCAAAAAATAGTCTTATGCATACACATTTGAAATGGGAGAATGGGGAATTTTGACAGGTTCTATAAACCACTGAGACTGCATTTAAATAACCACTGAATTCCTGACTCTTTAATAGGTGGTTAGTCATTCCTGCAAATAAGATTTTTCATTTTGATTCAATGCAGCACTCCTTCCGCTAAATCCTACGTTTCAGAACTTCTGATGGATTTGGCAGATCATAGAGAATTGTATTGTATAAATTGAAGAATGTAGTAAATATGTATTATATTTCATTTATTATTTTATGTAAGTAATTTTAAATATGTGTGTCCTTTACAGAACTTAATTACATTATAAACATTTGTATGAAATCATAATTCCTTATGAATTATTCAAGAATATAAATTGTATAATATTTTGAACAGCCAAAAAGAATTTCCCTGTAGTTACTTAAATCAAAACTGACAAAATACATTTCCTTCAAACTTCCTGAATTATTTTATTCTGGGTTAAGAACCAGCATAATGAAGTTTATCCCCAAAGGTACTCAGTGGAAAAGCTATAAGCCATGGAAAATGGGGCTTAAATTCAAAGTGCCATCTCAGAAAGCATAATAAAAATAGATTTTCAGTCTGCCCCAAACACAAATAGTAATGCCGTAAAATATGAAATATTGGGAGTATGGTTTTGCCATCTTTAATTTTTATAGTGGAGTTTTTCTCTGATCTTCCTCTATGCTAGAAAATAACCTTATATCCTGTGAAAGTCATCCACTTCTTTTAGCAGACTGAGAAATGGATGAAGTCTCAAAATATATGAAAGAAAATATGTGGTGGTTTTAAAGATTAGAACACATTGTTTCAAATTATATTTGCCTAAAAAGAATCTAAAGTGGCATAATTGTAAATCATTTAAAATGACTCTTTAATGGAAGAATTTGGATCTAAGTACAATCAACAATGATGGAAGTGGAAGGGCCCAAATTGATGGACTTTATTTTGTGGTTTCTATGAATCCATTCCTTGTTATTAGATCACACCCAGTCCAGGAAGGAGATCACAGTAGTGTCAGTGATTTAAGCCTGCATCCTTTTGCTCTCTCTTTGACTTGCAGTAACTCATCTGAATGAAGATTCTAGGTACTATTTAGGGGAAGTGGGATTGGATTTACCTATAATAAGTACATTTAGTCCTAGGTCTCTAGGCGTGTGTGTGTGTGTGTGTGTGCGTGTGGGTGTATGTGTTTACCCTGCTCTATTAGTACATGATTCCATTATTCCTTTGTTGCTGTCATGAATTTTGTCCCAAGTTGCTCTCATGTGCAGGCCATTCTCCCATACGTAATCAAATGAAATTGATTGTTGATCAGTTCCTTATAAAAGGCATCCACCTTGTCTCACTGTTTCCCTGACACCTGTTTTTATAATGTGTATCGCAATGTTGTGTGATTTTCTCCTTAACAAGTACCAGTGAACATCTGTATTGCAAAACCCAAACAACGCAATATTGGAGAGTTTCCAAGGTTTCATTTAACTATAATCACTAATACCAATTGTAGCTGCTCTGGTGTTATTTACTATGACTGAGTTTAAATAGAACTTATGTTTTACTCTATGCAATGGGCAAGTTAAAGGATGGGAGACCTTAAATCAATGAGGCAGTCATTTCCCATATTTCTAGCTTGAAGGCTAGTTGCTATAGGCCAAATATGGGCCCTTATTAAAAGAATAATCTAGTGAAAGATTACAAAAGTGATTGCAAGGAACTCCAGCAAAAATGTTCATTTTACATGGCTGATTATAGGATTTCTTCAAATGTTCTTTAATAATGCCATTTAACTTTAAATTGCAGACAAAGCAATTTTCAGATAAACTAGGGTTGAATCTTTTAAGTTTTTGTATTCACATACTGTTAAAAGCATCTGCTTTTCATAATAGTGTTCTGCGTTCTTGAGGTCCACTATCCCTGAGGACTTGTTTTATGTGGTTCTAGTATAGGCAGCTGTTTACAAATAAAGGTCATTCCTTAGGATAACAACCCCACCCACAGACAGTTGATCTGATGTTTCCTCTCTTCTTAACATTAGCTTCCATGTAATCCGATTGGCCCCATATTTGGAACATAGCGACTCATTTTTAAAAAATATTTAGAATGGTTATCAGTGATTTAAAGTCCCCCTCTCTTTAAGATGAAAAGTTATATGTAAACAAAGTATGACTAATTATGGACATCTATATTTTTATGAATTTGTCCTCTCCATTCAGACCTAAGAATAAGGATGCTACTTGTATGGTAGCTACCTGTACCTTTCCAGGATTTCAAGTGTCCAATGACATTTTTAAGTTGATTATAAATCCTCAGTTGGAATCTATCATATCATCTCTGGGGTCCCAGTGACAAAACTGTTTCATGCAATGATTTAAAGATATAATAAATTCTACCTTTTGTTAAAATGGCTTCATTTATTTATTAGTTCATTGAGAAATGTTTATCGAATCCTCATTATATGCCAAGAAATCTGCTAATGCTAGGGGTATAGTGATAAGCAAAGTGAGGAAAACTTCTGTTTTCAGAGCTTATGTTCGAAAGAGAAAGATAGCAAGCAAGTTAAGTCAGTAAAGTACAGAGAATTTTAACATTGATAAGTGAAAAGGAAAAATATTAAGCTGTAAAAAATTATAGGAAGCAAGAGTGACATAAT